ACCAAAACCTTGTCATGCAAACCCAATACACTAAGCAATGATTTTTCTGATAGTCAGACTATCTCAGATGTGCAATCTTTTGAGTTCAGCCTGCTGCTAGATCGAATTGCTGAGCTTGCTGCTGTCTCAACAAGATGCCTGTAGAGACACTTGAGCGTGAACCCCTGCAAGCTGCCTGTGGGAAAGATGGCTCATCTAGAGGGTTGGTAGGGCCAGCACATGAGGACTTAATCTTCAGGACAGAAGTACAAAGTCTGACAGGCACATTTCTTGAATCTAAGATTTGAAACAAACTCAAAATAAAACCTCTTGTTTGCTTTCATCCCTCTGTGTCTCTCCTGTGTTCAGTGTTTCCTATCCTTATTCTGTGGTTCAATAGGATTTTGAACCACAGAATAAGGATTTTCTAACTCAAATTTTCTACAGCTAAAATCAGATTAATCGTTTCTACAGAACAGACTAATTTCAAAATAAAGAAAAACTCTCCTTTCCCCCCCCCACCCCCACACATTTTTTTTCCTTTGTATTAATGTTATGATTCACTTATTTCCATAAGAGTTGTCAATCATTTTGGTTGATACCTTTAGATATTCACTGGAATGAGAGGATGATAGACAAGCTCTGATTGTCACATAATCCCATGATTACAGAAAATGGGGTTTTTATAAAACATGGAGAGACCACTGGCCAAGTTGCCAGAGTTGCAAATGTACAACCAGTGAAGATCCTTTCTTTCTCAGCACCAAAGAGCTACCAGGTGTGAAAGTCTCACGTCCTGCAGATGCTGAAGGGATCCATGTCTCTGGAACTATTATCTGGAAACTTTATTAATCTCAGTAGCTCGATGTATGGGCTGTGTCTTAGAAACACAAGAATTTGTCCAAACATTTAATAGGGTTTCTGAGCCACTGCCTCACAACTTATATTCTCATAACATGGAAATAGTATTTTTAAAAAGTCCACTACTTTGTCAAATTGTTCACAGTGAGGAAAAATTCTCCCAGTAGAAACATATATTGTCATATCATGCAGACACAGCAAAATTTGCATTGCTATGGAAACAAAGTTAAGATGGCTTATGCTGTGAAAAATAACTTGCAAGTGACTGTGAAAAGTAAGTTTATAAGAACGACATCTTTTGGGTTGATCTTGAAAGACATGACTTAACACAAGCATCTTGAATTAGAAGGCTGTTTTAATTTAGTTTTCCACAGAGACAGGTTATTTTCACATCTATTCTTACAAGTCTTAACATCAAAAACTATCAGCGTGCCTATATGAGCTATTTAGAAAGACATCTGCCAGTACAGAGTTACACTTCAAGAAAAACAAATCTAGTCCCTTTCAAGCCCATCAAATAAAATAACTAAATCAGAATAGAATATTGATCATGATGTATTTTCTTTATATGAATCTAGTTATTCAAGAAAGAGTAAAAAAAAAATTATAGTATCTAACATTTAAACAAAACATACTTTATACATTTGGCTAAGCTGAAATATTATACCTTGCCAAAAGAAAAAATGCTTTCTAACTGTTTCCCTAGCAGCTCAGTAGGCATGCAAGGCATGCAGTTAATTTCCTGCCAAGGTGGAGAAAAATTGGTAGGTCTAAGATAGTATTGCTAGTGTGCTTGAAAAAGATCTTAGTCGTTAATGTTGTAGTTGATGATGTATACATATTTTGACCCCTTATCTCCCTGAAAATTTCCCAGGTACAACTTCTGGGTTGACTCCATTTTAGCTCTCAATGACGGAGGGCTCAATGGGAGGCAGAATAGGATTTTCCAGAGCGTTACAGTCATCAGTGAGGAATACCAAGTCCTGGAGAAACAAAAGAGAATACTAACATTTATAATGAGAAAGGCAGAAGAATAGCACAACGTTGAGAAGCTCAGGCCCTGGTCCAGTTTTGCTCTTCAGGGGACAGGGTGGAGACAGAGGGGGCTAAAAGCAGAGAGTATGTCCCTCTTGGTGCATCTTGACCTACCCTTCTGCAGTAGGAGATCATGATGGTATAGAGGCTCCGGGCTTTTTCCTTCAGCTCACTCACTTCAAGCACTCTGTCACATCTGGGGTAGGCTACAAAATCACGGAGTTTTGCCAACACACAGTAATTCTGCAAAGCACACAAAAGAGGTATGTGTAACCCTTCACAAACACAAATTTATGTTTCTCATCCACCACTGACAAAATTCTTACTGCCTCTGTGGGAAACTTGAATTCCTACCTCTATGCATGTGTAATTTATGCAACCTTCAGTTAGGAATATTCACCATCAGTATTTCATAACAGAGATCTTTGGTCCAAATAAGTGCTTGTAAAATTGCGTAGACACAGTTTTGGTCTGCCAGCTTATTTCCCACATGCTTTAGGAAGCAGCAGTGCCAATACAATCAAATCTGTTCCTGTAGTTGCTGGAGTTACCACCAGAATAGGTGCACTGTCTCCCTTTTAAGAGAGCAACTGATTTAGCTGGTGAACAGATTATCAAGATCTCACAGACACGATTTCTCTGTTCCCATACAATAGGCAATTCTGTGAACACCAGGCAAGATTTGTTTTAAAGTAATTTTTGCCCCAGACTTCTTGTTAACAAAATAAAGCACAGCCAACATTAATTTCACAATGTCCTCATGAAGAAGGTAAATAAATATCCCAGCTCTTGCTTTAAAGCAAGGGAAACTGAGGCACATTGACTCACATTGCTTGGTCTTTGCAATGGTGTAAGGCACTGGCAACTCTGAGACTGGGATCTGGAGGGTCCTGACTTACAAGACTTGACGGTGTAGTTGCCTCTGGCAAAAGGTATCAGACATCTCTTGGTTTATCTCATATTTTCTACTTTTTACTTACTCAGTTGAGCACTGGGAAAAGAAGCAAAATATATCACATATCCCAGGGCAGAACACTATGACATAAACTACGTGTGCAGGAGGCTATTTTGTCTTTGCTGGAAGATGACTACAGCTGTTTTTTCTCAGTATTGCAGTTCCATATCCTCAGGCATACTTTTTCTTTCTGGATTCAACAAGTGGCTATTCAAAACTGCAAAAGCCAGCAAGGTATTCTTGTACTTTGTTTTATTAAAATTGCAGTGCCAGAACCCACTCATGATATAAAATCAAGTAGACTTATTAAGTGAAAATAGTTTATTCTGCATTTCTTCTTTTAAACTATTATTCAAAGTTTTGTTATACATATTTAACTTCTGAAAAGGTTCTGTCACAATAAATTATTAATCTACAATTGGTAATCACTTAAAAATATTGATTTCCTCATTTTTGAGTTTTAAACAAGTAAAGTCTCAGAAGCTCCCTAGGGATTTTAATAAGGCTCAGAATGAGATTTTTTTTTTTGGTCACTCATCTCTCTAGTTAATTAAGCTTTTAAAAATTCATTTCAAATCACTCTTCTGGGGTACAATCTTAAGAGTTATCCTCTCGTTCCCTTAGCTGCTTTTACTGCAGAGCAGTAAGAAAGAAGTATGAAAACTTACATGTATGTCCAAGTACAGCCTGGGCATCACCTCCACACATGAATCCTGCAGGAAAGAAGAAAGACCCATTGCAATTTTGTGTAGAGAGAAACTTGTGTTAAAAGCAAGCAACTTGTAGCATCTTTGCAGGAGCAGTTTTTAGGTAGACTCACCACAGCTTTGGAGGTCTGTAACTCCTTAAAGGACTCCGTGATTTCTTTGCTCAGAGATAACACCCTTGAGTAGCAAGTTGGAGGGGCCGCGTTGGCTAACAGGGCAGCAGAGAGCAAAGCAATCAGGCTCAGCAGCATCTTCATTGTGGGGAGCTTGTCCAAAGGAGGAGGAAGGCAGGAAAAAAATGTTAGTGGTTAGGCAGCTGCTGGTAAGCATCAACAAGTAAGTTTGACTAGTCAGCCCCCAATTAAATAGTCTCCTGCATCAATGGGCAGGGGGGGGGGAAGTCTAGGGGTGGTCCGAGCAGCAGCTTGCTGCTGTTTTAAATTTCCTGCCAACCTATGAGGCAGAGCTGCTGGCGCTTTCCTGCCCAGAGCAGGGAAAGGAGGGAATTAAGGTAACAAAAACAAATACTACTGGCACTTTTCATTCCAGAAAGAAAACAACCTGGTGAGCAACACAAGCAGCAGAAACATGTGTAAGAAATAGCACAGGGTTATCAGAGGGTCGTAGGCTCTGATCCTGTATGTGCTTTGGCACCTATGCCTCTATCTTGAGAACATAATGTACAGCTGTGGGACTATAGAGGCTGCAGACAGAGAGGTAGCCTTCCAGAACTGGTGTCAAATGTTGGTAGTATCAATCAGACTTGCTTATCATCCCTAGCAGGTGTGAAAGGTTATGGCTGTAAAGGAAACCTCCCAGGTCTAGTATAATTTTATCTTTTCAACCTATGCAGGTGCTAATAATTCCTTAATCAAAACAACAGTGCTTGTTATGGCTGCCTGGGAGACCTGTGTATTTACACATTCAAGATCTCAAGCAGAATGAATACATCTCTATATGGCTGTCATAAATGTATACAAAATATTTTGCTTTCTGAGTTGAATTTATAAGGCTCTGTTCTTTTATTAGATGCTAGATGGAGCTGAGAAGTCCAGATGCTGGGAGGCAGATGTGAGGCTGAACATGTGTTGTTTTCACATGTTAATTGTTCTGTAAAATGGAGGTACCCTTGAACAAAGAACTGGTTATTTCACAAGTTATGCCCCCCCCACCCCTCAAAAAACCCCCAAACAAACAAAAACCAAAAAACCCACATCATCTTTCAAATTCAGATTCTAGCTAGGAATTAACCAAAATAGTACAGTATATGATGAAGTACTGCAATCCCCTGGTATTGCAACAGACCAGGAAGGTTCATCTGAAGGTAGGAGAAAAGGAAATGTTTGAACACCTGTAAAAAAAAAGGGGCTTCCCACCAGCCGTTTTAGAGGGAAAATCAGTGTCTTGAAAACTAGTTTTGGGGAAAAAGAAGTATTCTATATGTTGCAGAGGGGTCTGACTTAAATCCACCAAAACACCTGGAGGAAATGTGGAAATAGAGCTTCATCCTATTGTCTTGTTATACATTTCTTTTCTTTCATAAAGAACGATTGGTTTAGTAACATCATGTGCTCCTGGTAGGTTGAAGTGGTAGATACTTGGAGAGGAAAGAGAATTTGGGAGTCCTGGTTGTGGGGAATTTAGGAGTGGCCTTGGCAAACAGGCTGCTGGGTCTTATTTTCAGGAAAGGGAGTTGCCTAGGCAAGTGAATGAAGAAGCCAGAGGAAGACAGGAAACCTTCTGAGAGGGCTCCAAGCAGTTGGATCATAGATCTAAACACAGCTGTCTAGTCCATGTACAAGGAAAGGATGCTACTTACTGTGAGCCTTGCCGGTAAAGAAACAGACTCTTAATCACCATCTCATTACTGTAAAGAGATGCTGAGGGTAGGAGTGCAATATTATCCTTCTATCACATTCTCGTTTGGCAAGCTAATAAAATGTAGTTGCTCTGCCAGAAGAGCAGTCTTCTGAACAGCATAAATGCTCTCCCAGTACAAGAAGTCAGCAATCCAGCTGCTGCCAAGGATGTCTTAAAAATGAAGTATTTGCACTTTTTTTTTTTTTTTTAAGTGCCAGCAATATTCTCTTTCTTGGTATTTTACCTATATTAAGCCTACAGTGATGACTCCCTTTCAAACTACAGTTAAATACTGTGGATCATGTTCTAAAAGACAGTTAGATGCCAAAGTGACTGTGGCAAATATGACCTCATGAACAGTCTGGCATGAAACACCAGCAAAACAACTCTTCAAGTTTCTGTGTCCTGCCCATATTCAGGCAGCTTAAGGCTATTTAATATCTCTCTTTAGGATGGGACAATGTTAAAGGTGCCAACGCTGCTTTGGAATTACATTATGAACTGAGCTATACATTGGTTGCCTAGGGCCAGAGAGGCAAGTGTGCAGCTTCCTATAGCCTAATGCAATACCCTGTCTCCCAAGTTGGGGTGCAAGCCCTGTGCCACAGAAGCCTCACACAGTGGTCACATCTAAGGGACCATGGCATAAGTGCTGAATGACACCTATTGCAGTCACTGCCCTCAGCTCCAAGATGACATCCAGAGAAGGAAATGCTCAGCAGTTGCATAGCACTGAGGGCTTACGATTTTTTCCTCCAAAGTGGGAGACCTGGAATGAATGTCTTAGTTTCTGAAGGTGCAGGGTGTTGGGTTGGATGGCCATGTTCTTCTGAGACAGTGACAAAGGGAAGGGGAAGGGAAGGACTGCCACCCACCTTTCATGCCTTTGCACTTGAAGTCTGCCTGGCCCCACACTCGCAGTCTGCATACGCAGGACTCTTGTCCTAAGAAGTGAGATTTGCTCAGCTCCACACAGTTGGAGAATTGCTTTGCCACCAACAGGCAGGGAAATGATCCACCCATTGAGTTTCTTCTGCAGAACAGAGAAATGCAATGACTTGCTGAGCGACCAAGCTCTTCTTGGCCCAAAGAGCAAAGCAAAGGCTGGATCCAGGCCTCACCGAAATATTTAACCAAATTTAAAAAATGACTCTTTGCTTTGTGAAGGGGCAAAATTGCTGAAATAATTTGCTCTGGAGTTTTTGCTCAGTTACAGCAGTATTCCTACCTTGTGGTTTCCCTTTGATCCCATATAAACTAACTCAAGGAAAGCCACTTGTGATGGATGTCTATTCAAATAGTTAAAAAAATGAGCTACCCTCAGAAATACTAGGAAAAAAGGATTTCTGTTTTTGGGAGGTGAAAAAAAAGAGAAAGGACTGGATTTTAATTTCCTCACCTAAATCTTCTCCTCCCTGGGCCAGATTACATGCATAGTTGACTCTGACCCAGATGGATACTGTCCAACGTCTACTAGCTCATCAGCACTTCTGCACATCTCAGCATGCAGAATGCGCAACTCTGTTCAAAAAAGACAAATGCTCTCTTCTCAGTTGTTTTCTATTTGTAGCTCATCAGCAAGATTATCCCTGAGGTCTGATTTGGACCAGATATGAGCAAATAACTTCTTTTTCTCTAAGAAGCTCACTGGTGACTTCAGGACAGCTTGCTAGTGACACCAGGCACAGGCAGCCCTTTCAGTCTAAGGCACTTGGCACAACTCTGATCCAGATACAGAGTTACCAAAGCCCTTGAAACACCAGACTCTTTTCAGTGACTGTTTTTATCCAGTTACTTATGCAAAACCACTTATTAATTCTGGTGCACTACCCTGCCTTGGGCACAGGAGGTCTTTAACGGGAAGACACAAGCTGTTCTTCACAAAGGCTAATAGCATCTTAGAGGCAGTATTGACAATGGACATGGAAATAGTCTGTAGAGCCACAGGAGGAGAAGGGGCAAAGATCAAAATATGTTAGAGTCAAGACTCGCCTAAGGATTGCCTCTATGGAGAAGGTGCCATTTACAGCCCTTCTAGTCTGTGGGACAATGCTCAGGCTGGCATTAAAAGGGAGCACAGCAGGAGTCACTCAATACCACCGTATCTGTGATGATCATCATGACATGGATATCACCACCACAGACACATCTTTGCTGTACTCCTCAATTCAGTGACCATTTGAACACTCTGAGGGGCCAGGACACACACTCGAGTTTCGCATCAACTCTTAAGGCTGATGATGTCACTACAGCCCTGAGTGCTATTTACAGTCCATTTACTTACTCTTTTGTAAGGAATATTCCATAGCAAAAGCAGACACATGGTCTGAGAGGAAAATTAGAAGCCTATCATGACATAATTGTGTATATATATTTTTTAAAAAATTTGAGCTCTGTTGTCCTTTTGCTTCCAAGTTACTGAAAACTCAAACAATAATATTTTTCTAAAAGTCAAAGGCCTTACTCATTATGCAGGCAGAAATTCCTCCCATGTTTGAACAGTCTACCACGGCCTCCACCAACTTTTAACAAAAGCCCTTTCAAGTTGCTGGCTTCCTGATACCAAAATCCACTTGTTTAATGAAAATGTTTATTTTAAAATAGTTGGGGGCTGCCATGAGACACCTCATGAAATAAACTTCTGATTATATTAAAAAACAGGAAAAGTAAAATGGCACTTTACAGAGAAAGCCCTGTGACTCAGCTGGTGGTTGTGGCAAATGTGCCACTTCTTGCTTTTTAGAGCAGAGCACAAAAGAGGTGTTCACAGGCTTTTTGGAGACCTTGAATTTTTGGTTAAGGTCTTGTCTGGTTGTTGTATTTTTCCTCACAGTGCACTTTGTTGAGCCTTTTTGTAAACATCAGCACTGAATGTTGGGGTAGGGCTTGTGCAGCCTCACACATTGCCCTGGGTCCCGGTGGTGCTGATACACAGCACTGCCAGCCGCCCCAGTGCAGGAGGGAAGCTGGGTACAGCAGCACACTGCGCCTGCATTTGAAACTGGGGTAATCCAGTGTGTTTCCTTTTCTCTTTCATGCTAGCAATAAGTCTTTGCTGGTGATCCACATGGCTTGGTCAAACTGTAGGCAGTGAACAAGGCAGGCAGGACCTGTCACTGGGCTGGTGTTGCTACACCATGTCACCGTGAGAGTTAAGCAAAAGTATTCTTTGCTTACTCAGTGGCATGGGCTTTATTCTACACTGCTGTTGATATTTTTTAAAATTTACATATATATTGAGGAAACAGATGTTACTGCTCTAAAGCCTGTTCTTAGATAAAATGGTTATAGAAGCAGCTAAGCCATCTGGGTCAGAAAAAGAAACGACATGTTCTGAAATCTGGAGGTCTTGCCAGCACGAACCAGGCACTGGGCACTTTCCCTGTGGGAAAACATATGGAAATGGGGAGTCTTGTGGTCCAGGACAGGCATAGGACAGCCCAGCAGGGCTAGGGAACAGGA